TGAAGTTCTGAGAGTTGTAAGCTTAGATCTTACTCCTGGCGGTCGGCACACTGTGGATCTCACTCTTTCGAGACCTCACCATTTGCACGGATCGGGTGCTCGTGTAATAACGAGTCCCCAACCCACAGGTTCCGGCAATCCACATATCGTACCTGACGCGGTGGATGGACGGATTTTATCTTCTCCACCACCGCCTCCTTTGTCAGGATATAATCCAAGTTATCCTGTAAGTCCTGCTCCGTATCACCCACCAAGACCAGGATATCATCATTATTCCGGTTACTATTAATTAACTGATCGTTTTATTACCTTTTCTCTACATTTTAAAACATCCATATAATAACTTTTTTAACATAATTTTTAGCGGCAAAATATTTCACTCGTGAATAATCAAAAAAATATATTTCGTCACTTCCCAACTGGTTCTGGTATAACATTGTGAAGCTGTAGAGTAGTCGATATTTAGTTATGTCTTTTCCTCCTTTGTTTCCTCTATTTGAGACTTCATAATAAATTTAAGACCGTGAGCTAGTCGAAGTGAAATTTTTTTATACGATTAACAAACTATACGGAGACCAATTACGGAATGTCGGAACTTAATTTGGTCTTTCTTGGACACATATGATAATCGAGAGTTAACAAGTTATAGAATTTTATCTTTGAAATTAAAGTACAACTCTGGAACAGAGATGCGCACAAATATTAAAAGAAAAGAAACCAGTTATGTTAGACAGTCTAGTTTTTGAAAAGTTTAAAGCACACGGTCGGATTAGTCAACCGGTCGAACGCGATTATCGTAAAAGTATATTAGTAAAATGTGACATGTATCTATTATTTTTGGAGTGAATGTTATTTTTTTAAACTATTTATGAACAAAATTGTAGAAATTCGTTCTGCGATTAGAAGTACAACCGCATGATTAGAAATACTAGTTAGTTTCTCAGTTACACCATTCTCAGATCACATATTTATACTATACACACTCTTCTGTGTAATCACGTAAAACTTGAGCATGGTGATCACACTTTTTGTTCACTGATGGTAGATTATTTCAAAGTAACTCATATTTCACGCAAAACGTTACTTAACTTTTAACATATATTCTTATACTTCTTGTTTTTCGACAAGGAAAATATTTGTAAGATGTAACGGTAGTTGCCATAAATTTTTGCAACAGTATTTTTCGGACGATTAAAGCAGCGACGTCAACGTTGTCTCTCTTGCCGTCGTTGTATTCAGATTTAGATTAAGAATTCATAGGATCGAGTTATCGTATGCAAAGATAAGAAAATAATTGGATAAACGAATGAAAAAAGAGCTGCGATATTATTAATGCACGTAAAATTTTTACCTCTTGAGAAATATTGTGAAACCTGATTTCGATCAGTCGTAATAGCTCACAATTCGCGGAATAATTCAATCGAGTTGCCTAATGATAGTTATAAGTGTATTTGCATGGTGATAATGAAACTTAAACGTTCATTTTTGTTCTAGTCATATTACATTGTTAATTGTATTATATTATCCTGGGCGTTTTGCAAATGGTTTTTATTCGGTTACCGTAAAAATTGTGACGATCATTTTATTTCTCGACGCTATTTCTCATTTTATTTCTCTGACGCTAACCATTTGCGAGAACCAAAGAATAAGAAATCGTGCAACTTTTGTGCCAAATAGATAAGACGTTTATCATTGTACTATGTACATTTTTAATATAAATTCACCGATTATTTTGTATTAAATAAAAATACTCGTAACATTAATGACCGATAAGTACATAAATGTACAGGTTTATGTATGTGTGATGTATGCAAGAATAAGCGTATGTGTATGTATGTTTATGTATGTATGTATGTATATATATGCTGGCATGTACATAATTGGATAGATGCGTGTATGTTGCACGTCCTTTTTAGGTAACGCAACAAGTTTCTGATCTTTTAAGTAAATTTCGATTAATTCTTTATCTTTTTGTTAGTGGTATTGTTATTTCTTTTTGGTTTCTTTTACATATGCTATATTGCGTTTTCGCAATTTAGGGCTTCCTATTCCCATTTTATCTGTTTCGAAAACTGTTTATATTACTTATTTTCCACTTCCAAAAAGGAATTAGCAGAAATAGTAAACAAAGTAACAATTTCTCTTCTTGTTCATATATGTATATTCATGTACTACTAGCTATAATTACACAAAACTTTAAACAATGTTCACGAGTACAAATATGACACGGAATACATTTGTATCGGATTTCTTAATATGGCAAACGAAATTAATAGAATAAAACATAAAAATAATAAGATCACAATGGGTTTCTTATTTTTCCTTGTATCTGTAGCTATAGTAAGAATTACTATATACAAAAAAGAATTGAACATGTCAGATGTCATATATTGGTTAAATTTAATTTGATCTTTTCATGTTCGCGCCTTTGAATACAGCGACCCCGGTCGGTGTAAGCAAAGAGTTCATTCCCATTTCATGAAACGTATATACCATCTAAAATCTATAATCTTGCAGGTATTCATTGGTGCCGTTTTATTCTGCTCCGAAAGAGAGCTTTTTGAATCATCGTCAGGCAAGAAAATGGTTGGGTCGATTGTACGGTCATCTTTGCTGCGTGGTTTCACGGTAATAATAATTGTTTTTCTTCCTTTCTCTTTAATTACTAAAAAGTATTATGCGTTATTCGTTAAAAAATGACCGTCTACATAGGTGTTATGTAAACGACTTGATACTATTCGGTAATGTCAATCTGTCGTATTGGTTACATAGACTGGAGTTTATTAAATAATTCTTCTTTTTTATATTTAAACTCCAGTCTTTCTTTTCTATTTGCTCTTATAATTTTTTACTAATTATTGTTACAAAATTTCCATTTGATTGTAAGTATATTTTGAAAGTAGTTGAGTTATAATATTTTGAATTTCTTTATGAAAATATATAGGAAAATGAAGATGAATCTATGTCAAACTGAGAAACATTTTTTATTATATCAGGTCAGACATGCAGTTACAGCAGCTGCACAAAGTTGTAGTGCTGTGCCTGAATGCAAAGTTTTGAGCAATCAGGTCATTATTGCTACTTGTGATAATAATTCTCCTATTGCACAGGTGTCCATTGTTTTCAGGTATTTGAAATCTGAACAAATTACTCATACAGATTAATTACAATAATTCTCTTTCATATAAGTATTTAATTTATAGAGCTGGATCAAGAAATGAAACATATGATACTCAAGGTACAGCACATTATTTGCGGCTAGCAGCAGGATTAAGTACATCTTCTTCCAGTGCCTTTGCTATAACAAGAAATATCCAACAGCTTGGAGGAAATTTAATAACTATTCTTGATCGTGAAACTATAGCATACACATTGCAAGTCACTACAGACAATTTGTAAGAATTTCTTTTTGTTGCTCTGTTGCATGTGTTGAATTTAGTATTGTTACTACATATTAATTTTACTGTACCAACAGGTCAGATACTCTTAATTTCTTGGAATCTGCTGTTACTAAGCAAGTCTTTAAACCATGGGAAATATCTGATCAGTTACCTAGGTTAAAAAGTGAACTAGCTTCTTTGCCTGAAACAACTTTGGTAATTGAACTCTTGCACAAAGCAGCTTATCGCAATAGTGGGCTTGGAAATTCTCTTTTTATACCAGAAAATCAAATAGGTAAAATTGGTTCAGAAACTGTAAGTATATTTTTTACACAGAATTCTGATAAGTAATTAAATGTTCTCATTGTTCAAGTAATATTTGGTTCTTTGTTTGTAGCTACAACACTTTTTCAATACTTGGTGCACAACACCTAGATGTGCAGTTGTTGGAACTGGTGTTTCATTAACAGACCTTACTACTTTAGCATCAAATTTAAGTATAAACACAGCAGTTAATTCAGATGAATCTTCAAAATACTGCGGTGGAGAAATTCGTAAGGAAGCTGCATCAGATTTGACTAAGGTAGCACTAGCTGTTGAAGGTGCAAATTTGAAAAGTGACAAAGATGCCTTAGCATGTGCAGTACTTCAAAGAGCATCTGCTAGTGGACCAAGAGTTAAGTGGGGGGTCAGTGGAAGTCCACTGTATAAAGAAATTTCAAGCATTGCAGGTGCAGAACCATTTGGTCTATCAACCTTTAATGCCAGCTACACTGATTCAGGACTTTTCGGGGTTGTTTTATGTTCACAACCCGATTTAGCAGGATCTGTGAGTGAATACAAGTAAAACTCTGTAATTGTAATCCTATTATTTTTTAACTATTTAACATTTATTTTAATTTAATTTTAGTTGACAAAAGCATCTCGCAAATGGTTGAAATCCATGAAACTATCTGATAATGATATCGCTCGTGGTAAAAGTATATTGAAAACTGAAGTTTTAGATTCAGCAGACAATGCACTTTGTTTGTTGGAATCTATGCAACAACAAGCTGTACTTAAAGGGAAAGTCTCTTCACCGGTATCACTCGCTAATGATATCGACAAAATTACTCCATCTGACGTTCAAGCTGTATGTATATTGAATATTTGCTCCTAGATTATAATAATATACTTATTATATTGTTCAACTGTGCTTGTTGCATTAACAATTTTCTAGGTTGTCGGTAAAATTAGCAGAGGAAAATTATCCATGGCTGCCATTGGTAATTTGAGAACTGTACCATATATCGATGAACTAAATTAAACTCAACACCTTTTCTTCCAAAGAAACATGTAGCATGATGAGTTGGATATCAACTCTCTTCAATAACGTGAAGATTGAGATGAAGGTATACATAAGCTACCGATTCGAATCGCCACAACGTATTTAATAATTGTGTGCATTTCATTACAGTGAACACAACTTTGTAGATATAAATAAAAATAAAAATTCTTTATTTCCCATTTTATTTTCTGTATGTTATAATGTCTTCCTATTACGACGTAATTCTTCCTATTATTAAATCTGTTGCTTACATACATATTTATATAAAAAATATTTTACAATTTCATTTACATATATAGAATATTAAAGGAAATAATTGCCATTGAAGTTGTATATACGTGTATACGTTTGCAATTGATTATTTTATTTCAATAAAGTTTAATTTCCTCTATTGTATAAAACTTGTTGCAATTTTTTTGCAATAATTTTGACGACTTTCCATGGATCGTTCTTTTTAAGATAGGTCTCAAATTTTCCATATCTTTAAATACTTGTAACTGCAAAGAAGATTGTTTAATATATAGAATAAAAGTAATAAAAACATTGCTGAAACAACCTTGCACTATTTTGCTTAAACACTTACATGATCATCTAAAACGTAATTAAGTTTATTGAGCAGTGTTGATACTTGTGGATCTCGTGATAATATGTATTGTTGATAATGAGATTCCAGCAAAAGACTAGACCATTCATATAATTGTTTGTCAGCCGGTTGTTGTACTATATCATGAAACAATTCTTGGTCGTCTAATTTTTGTATCAAGTATTTTAATAACCGAAGTATTTCGTCAAAATTTAAGCCACTTTTAAGATGCGACACTAAAGAAATGTTCGAATAAGTAAGACTAAAAATTTTATCAAGAAAATCATTCCGTGAATATAAATGTTTGGTGGTTACAGAATGGTCAGATGTACCATTCTGTAATGGTAGAAACGTTTCATCGGGACTCCTCAGAGAAAAGATTAAAAGATCAATTAGTAATTTTTCCGGTAGATCTTTAATATTATTTAAACACCATATGATTCCGTCAACATCTTTCGACTCTATCAACTGCGGAATTACTATTTCTTGTATGGCAGCATCGCTCAATCCTTCTTTTAAGTAAGACGATATTTGTTTGGAAAGGTGTATAGGAGGGTTTTGCGATAATTGATTAACAAAAGTTGCTCCGTTCTTTTCCCACTGAGCTACCGTTGACTCTTGTATTACAACGATCTCGTCTTCTGCGTTCTCGTTGTCGCTTTTAAAACGCAAGGATGATCCAAGTAATGTTGCTATTTTTTGAGCTGCAAGGTGATAAGGTGCAATTGCTAAGTGTTTATTAGCAGCAAGTAGTAACTTGTCCTCAATTTTCCATAATTTTGCATCATTTGTGTATAATTTTAGTTTCTGGGCATCTTGTATCAGTTTAAATTGCACATTATAAATCATCAACACAGCTCCTTCTTCGGAAACATCAGCCCCATAAACTGCCACAGTGGCCTCATTTAAACATGTCATAACTACTGGATATTTAGTGTTAATATTACTGATAATACCAATTAGCGTACTTAAGCTAGTTTCTGTGTTAGTTTCTGTCAAAGGATGACTGTATAATCTACCATGTGACCCTGCAAAACAAAAAAAAAAAAAAACTGTAAAATATAGATAATTTCTGAAGAAAATGTTTAATTCAAGAAACGAATTTCTGATATAATCTGTTTCCTTAGAATAGGTCTCATTATTGAGTTTAACTACCACACAGTTATATGTTCCTTCAATTTCAGTTAATAGGCATAAGTTTATTTTATCAGTACTGCGTATCAGGTGACAGTCTAGAATTTTTTCATTGGTATTTAATATTCCTTCTCTGGACCAAGATTTTCTGTTTTGTATAGCCCTTTCTAACGAAGCAGTTGCTCCATCTTTGCGTACTAATACGGAAGGACATTCTTCAAGTTTAAGAATAGTATGCAAGGCAGACTGAAATTTATAACCTTTAATGTTATTCAAATCTGTTTCTTCTGCAGACCAAAGGCGTATTTTTTTTTCATTGAATATCGCAGCATACTGATGCGTTGTTTCATCGTAAATAACTTGTGCCGTCAATCGATCTTTGCTGGTCCAACTACTTAATTGTTTTAGGTCTTGCAGCTGAGAGAATTGAAATTTTCATAAATGTTAAAAACATTAAGCATTCATGTTATAAATGAATGTTATTAATGTAGTAGTTTACCTTATATCGAATTACAATATTTCTTCCTAAGGTTACAATTGCACAACCACTTTCCGAGTCTCTTTCGACACCTAACAAATTTTGTTGGTCGATAAGTGGACATAATGTATAATATGAATAAAGTTTTGCCATTTCGAACGTATGAAATAATTCTTTTCAATCACGTGTTCCACCTTTCTGTCCAAGTCGAATTGTATAAATTTCACTGATAATGAGCATTTGCTTCCGAAGTTTTAACATCTTCATTAACGTCATTTAAACCTAATTCTCCAACCATCTCAATTCTTTTTATCTTTATCTTGAAATTTTTACACTGGATTAATGTTGAATGACAAATTACGAATTTCAAATAGGTTAGATTGCTTCACCTTTATGCAAGGCACAAAGGAAACAAAATATAGCGCCCTCACTATTCTAGAAGATACATTACGATCGACTTTTAATTTTTGAATTACGGGTACTAACGCATCTTTGTAGAAAATGTATTTTGCTAATTTTGCAAGTTATTAAACTCGTAACTTGTTTAATATCAAGTCGAGTACTTTTGATATATGATCAATAATTATCGTGGAAATTAATTGCAGCATTGTACATAGATTGAAATGATGTTATGCAAAGAATAAACATACTACAATCTTTTCTTTAAACTTTCTCATAGATTTGATCGATAGTTTAAGAATGTTCGACCATTCTTAATCTCACGGTGATCGATATTCGAGTTAAGTTCGATTGGTTCGAATAACTAACAAAATGAAATCTACCCGAAAGACAAATGCAAATTTAAATGCTTTACAGTGTGCACCACTGTTCGAAGGAAGATGACTTGGAAGGGGGATAAAGCTATATACATGAGGGTGAGTTGAGCAGCACTCGAGTCTGTTCAGATCGTTCGAAGAGAGTTTGAAGAAAACGATACAATCAATTCGTATTTTCATTTTTATTTTACACAGTGTGACGAACTTGCGTTTCGGTAAACTTCATTTACGCGGATCTATGTAAATAAATTCGTACATTAAAAAAAATGTTGTTATAGAGATTAAAAGAATGCAGCCGTTGATCCTTGTTACTATTTTCTGCTTATTTGCAGGTAAGTTAATCGAAAGTGACCAAAGTGTATTTGAACAATCAATACTATCTTAATTACATCAACTATTCTATCGTAGTCTTTTGTCAAATCTTGCTCAAGATACTCCTACTTTTGATTGTTACGCGTTTCTTAAGCGACTGCATAACATCACGAAGTCTATCTCGCATCTTGCCGCGGATTCGATTGGAATACCAATCGAAAAGACAGCAAAAGTACAAAGAGAAAAAGATGGGCGTGGAAACAGGAACGCAACAGAATATCAATTTTCACTTTTATTTTTCCCTCTTTCTTTTGTTCCCCCCTCGCCATGAAAACGTAATAATTAATCGTGGCAATTTAAAAAAAAAGGAGAAAAAGATCGAGATCATTTCTTCTTCCACTAATCACCTTCGTTCGTACTTTTTTCAGAGTTCACTTGTACAGTTTGCCTAGATGTGAACAGAGAAGATAATCGTTGCGAGATAATGATGAAAAGAATAGCTTCGGAAGACAAGGCAATTGTAACAGATAACACACCATCTAGATTACGTACAACTTGGATATCCCAAGAGTAATAATTTTTTCTTTCTCAATTCTATTATAAAGATTTTTATTTCTGAAAGAATTTGCAATATCGGAATTGTTTGTTTAGATGTGAACTACGTGTTGGGCCTAGATATATCACAAGAAAGTACAGTTTCTTCGACAACGACACGTTTCTTCTGTTGCAATATCATTATGCCGAAGAATCATGCAGCATCGCAACGTATACCGTCGTGGCGCGTGGTTCCATCAATATTTCCTCACCGTCCGTCACGATTCCTGGTGCTGTGGAAACTAATGTACAATTGGATTCGGTTCACTTGATACCGCTCAACAGACAAGTAACGATCAATTACTACTTGTTTCATCGTTGAATGAAATGCGTTAAGTGATCCTGATTTTATCCACAGGTTGCTCATAAATTTGGACGTAGAGTGAATGCAAGTTGCGGCGGCGTCGAGACTAAGTGGCGTCCTTACTTGGCTCAATTGATCTACGAACGACCCACAGATTTTTCGTCAGACACGAGCTTACACGTGCACGACTTGAATTCTAATTCTCTTCAAAGCCGTTCGCTACGTTCAAGAAGACGACACACGTTGGATTGTCTCGAATCTTTTGGTATCGAGTTCGACGAACTAAGACTGCTGCGAGTCGAAGTGAAAAGATCGAAACTTGCGACGAATTCATCGAGACGCGATACGGTTAGCACGTTGGACAAAAGTCACGAAACAGTGGAATTATTGCTTGGTGGACTTGCTCGAAATGTTCGTTCTCAGAAAATAGAACCAAGACCAAATCGTTTGCAAGCTACACCTCTATTGCACGTTCGTACGGTAAAGCTGCTTTATCTATCCTGACTATATTCTTTTCAAATTGTATACCTACGGTAACATTCGTATTGTTACAGGCCTTCGGTTGTCCGATTTGTGGAAGCGTGATTAGAGCTACCGAATATAGTCCACCTTTGTTTCATCAAACACCATCCTTTCCAGCGGTGATCGGTGGTCTCTGGTTGAGCATCAGATGCGAAAGCATCGATGGAGGCTTTTGGTCCAGGAGATTCTTTAGGATTTACTCCGACAACAGCAGATGGTTCGCGCGTTGGACCTCCTACGCTGATTCAGCGTGTTCAAATTCTTTATACATGGTTACCGCAGCTGGGACTTACGTTCAACGAGCTGTTCGAAAAACTCGAGATACTGATCGTTCGAACGTGAACGGTGATGTTGAGAACATTTTGCAAGGGAGCGACGAATCAATTACGTTGCGAGCAAATCAAAGACAGAAGATGAAGGTCGATCAACAGGAGATCGTTGATCGTATGACACCTTTCTCAGCTCAAACAGACCTTACTCTACCTTCTGGAACAACTGAATTAGAATTACGTATCCTCGAGAGTCTGTTAATTCCTGTTAATAAAACAACGTCAACTCGTTGCGGGACAAGTACGAAAGGAGCAAGAGAAATGAAACGAGTAAGAGAAAACGAAGGTGGTTTATGGTCGAAAAATTGCATACCGCCAGGTGTCGAAGCTTCTGAAACTTTAACATTCAAAGCAAAAATTGGCCTTGATTGGAATGGGGATTACACGTTGCTTTTAGCTTCATCCAAGAACGATCTTTGGGAGGCACCTCTTCGACGTTGTTCCAGTGCATCCACGAGAAATTATTTTCGAGCAAAGAACAATTTTCGAGAATCCTGGCACGAGTATTTAGCATTTTCTCGAAGACGCAATCGTTACGACAGATTCAATCGATATAGACGGCATTGGTTTTCTGTTTCCTCTGCTACGTGCCTCTGGACAAATACTTTATCCGTCATGCTGCTTTTATACTGGTTACACCTTGCCTATTGACCAAATCAAAAACCCGACGAAGTTGGAGTTGTTATATTTCGAAAACATTTAAATGCATTTCTAAATTATACTAAGGCTAGCTAGTTGTCAGAGTGAATAACTTATTCGTCAAAGTTGGACATACATGGCCAGGAGAAAAACTGGAAAAATAAGAAGTGAGTATATGTATAGCTAGTACATATCGTATATTGAAAGTTGAACTTTATTGATATAGTTCAATTCAATAGTCGTTCAATAATTGCATAGTTATGGAAACGATATTTTATACCATTTTTATTATTTAATAGCTTCTTCGTTTTGTTACAGGTACTATTATGTAGACAAAGCCATCTATGTACATAAGATCTTCTAACGATCATCACTCACTTCTACTGTCATAGAAAATATAAAAATATTAATACTGCATTAGTATAGAAAGCCTACAGTGCATGACACTATTTGTAAAGATATAAAACTAACTCTAAGATTAATTATACAATGTATTTATAATATTATATAGTAGCACAATAGTATGTAAAATTACTTTAATTGCAAAAATTTTTGCACGAAATATAAATGTAAGAGTATGTAGATAGTAAGGTAGTAAATATGAAAAAAAACATTTATTTGAATAAAAAAATTTTAAGAGATAAAACTTGATATACATCATTTAAAACAACTTCCTACGCTGAAGCAATACGTAAAATCTCCGACTCTATATAAATATACTGGTGTAATGAGTAAGACACAGAATGCTATAGAGAAACGACTTAGACAAGGATAGCAAAAGTACCGTGTGTTAGACAAGGAAAGCAATATGGATAGACAAAGACAGAAAAAAAAACGTGGGAGGCGAGGCTTACGCCATCTTGCGTCTGGTGACGCGAATTACGATTTCTTAATAGAATTACAGAATATAAACAGAGGTATTAGACAAGGAAAGCACTAGTGTGCGACAAAGATAGAGAGAAACCGTTTCCTATTGGCTAGTGGGCACCTAAGCTCCACCAATCACTGGCTACATCAAGTCAGTCAGGGAAAAATCATTAATAACTCCATAATTACAATAATTTTGTGAACTTTTAGAATTGAGGAATAAAGTGTGAACCTTCAGCAACTTTCACATATACTTTTTAGTTCTCTAGAACCTTTCGATAATTAGTTATTAATAATTTTAGTACGTGATGTCGGGATGGATACCGCATACAGTTAAACACTTTTACAGTTTTTCAATAATTCCATAGCTTTCTGATGAATTCGCATGCAACTAACTGTATGCATTTGATAGACAGCACCATTAGCTATATTCTCTTCCAATTTTTATTAACATATTCGGTCTAGTTTAGGAGTTATTAAACATTATATAAGAATATTCTCTATACATCGAACTCGTGTATAGTCAACTGTTGTAAAGAATTGCTAATATCTAATAAACCATACGACTTACAGCTACCAAACTAATTGCAGAATATAGACAAAAGTCTATTCTACATTCTACGTGTGTTAAAGTGCATAATTGATCACGAATATTTATTGAAATAACGAAAATTTGTTACGCATGAATGCGACGCGTGTAAACGGGTGTAATATCTTTACGGTTTTTCAATCATTTCAAAACGTTTTACTGAATTCTCATGCAAATAACTATATGCATCTAAAAGGTACCTCCATTAGTTATATTCTCATATAATTTTCATTAACATACTCCTTGTGGTTTGATAATTATTTACCATTATTTGGGTGAGTATTACAGCCGTCGCATTCAAGGGTAAGAAATTTTCGTTATTTCAATAGATATGTGTGATCAATTATGCACTTTAAAACATGTGGAATGTAGAATGGACTTTTGTCTATATTCTGCAATTACTTTGGTAACTATAAGTCATATGGTTTATTAGATACTAGCAATTCTTTACAACAGTTAACTATACACAAGTTCGATGTATAGGGTACCCTCTCATATAATGTTTAATAACTCCTAAACTAGACCGAATATGTTAATAGAAATTATATGAGAATGTAGCCAAAGGAGTTGCCTTTTAGACGCGTACAGTTAGTTGCATGAGAATTTAGTAAAAAGCTATGAAATTATTAAAAACCCGGAAAGGTGCTTAACTGCATGCGGTATCAATCCCGACATCACGTACTAAAATTATTAATAACTAATTATCGAAAGGGTTTAGAGAACTAAAAAGTATATGTGAAAATTGCTGAAGGTTCACACTTTATTCCTCAATTCTAAAAGTTCACAAAATCGTCGTAATTATGGAGTTATTAATGATTTTTCCCTGACTGACCTGATGTAGCCAGTGATTGGTGGACCTTAGATGGCCGCCAGCCAATAAGAAACGTTCTCTCTCTATCCTTGTCGCACACTAGTGCTTTCCTTGTCTAATACCTCTGTTTATATTCTGTTATCCTATTAAGAAATCGTAGTTCGCGTCTCCAAACACGAGATGGTGTCGGGTTACACCCGCCATTTTTGTTTCTGTCCTTGTCTATCCCCGTTCCTTTCCTTGTCTAACACACGGCACTATTTCTACCATTATCTACCCCTTTTCCTTTCCATGTGTAGCTCGCTTAATACTATCCTTGTCTACTCTATACCTCTGCATATGAAAGGTGACTCCTTTAGCTACATTCTCGTATAATTTTTATTAACATATTCGGTTTAGTTTAGGAGGTACTAGACGTTACATGGGAGAGTCCCCCATTTACTGTTCTCATGCATAGTCAACTATTCTAAACAATTGCTAATATCTAATAAACCACCCCACTTATGGTTACTAAACTAATTGCAGAATGTAGAGAAAAGTCCATTCTACATTCTACTTGCTCGAAAGTGCGTAATTAACAATGAATTTCCATTGAAATAACAGAAATGTGATATCCTTGAATGCGACGTGTGTAAAGAAAGAAGGAACTCAACTAAAGAATGTCAAATAATTATCAAACCATCAGAGATATGTTAATAAAAATTATAGAAGAATGTAGTTAACGGACCTGCCTTTCAAACGCGTATAGTTAGTTGCATGAGAATTTAGTAGAAAGCTATGAAATTATTGAAAACCCGGAAAGACACTTGACGGTATGCGGTATCGTTCCCGACATCACGTACTAAAATTATTAATAACTAATTATCGAAAGGTTCTAGAGAACTAAAAAGTGTATGTGGAAGTTTCTGAAGGTCCGCATTTTATTTCTCGATTCTAAAAGTTCACAGTATCGTCGTAATTGTGGAGTTATTAATGATTTTTCCCTGACTGACTTGATGTAGCCATTGATTGGTGGACCTTAGGTGGCCGCCAGCCAATAGGAAACGTTCTCTCTCTATCCTTGTCGCACACTAGTGCTTTCCTTGTCTAATACCTCTGTTTATATTCTGTAATCCTATTAAGAAATAGTAGTTCGCATTTCGAAATACGAGATGGTGTTAGGTTACACCCGCCATTTTTGTTACTATCCTTGTCTCACACATCGCTATAGTGCTATATACATACATGTCTCCCCTTTATCTCATGCCTTGTCTAACAATAAGACGTTTCTCTAATGTTATCCTGAGTGTAGAAAATAAAATTTATCACAGGTTCTTTTATGTAACAAAATTCAAATGACAATTTAAATTTATAGTTTTTTATTACAGAGGGTGAAAATAATTTTCTCTTTACCTCTAAAGCTACGTTGCGAAATAAAATGTTAGTAGCATTTTACATTTCTTCAAGATCTCCGTTCAACGTGTTAAATACACAGGTAAATAAGAAGACAATTTTTGAAAAATAAAACATAATGTCGTTTATTGATTACAAATGATCACGTAATACAGAATGCACAATATTGGCGACAGTCCTTAAATTGTAGCGCAATTTATAGTATAATTTTCGTA